GCGAACTCCAAGTGATTTTCGCCAAACGGTGTGCTCGAGGAGTTACGGGGAACACGGCGGCAGAGCACTTAGGAAGAAGCGGCGAAACAAAATTCTTCCTTTTGATAAGGCTCAGCCTGAGCCGAAGAAGGGATCATATTTGGGGGAAAGTGCAGACGAGAAGAAGCAGCCCGCACTGTCACGTGTACCCCATCTCCTCCTTTCCTCCCATCTTTAACTTCCTTGGCGGCTCATGTAAGCAAGCTATCCGTGTTCACAGGATCAAACTGCCCTGAGAAAGAATCTCTGCGCTGGTGATTCGTGTAGTTTGAAGCCGGCACAAGGCTTTTTTCATACCGAAGTGATAGGACATTCTGTATCGGAGGTCAAACTACATCCGGTAGCCGTTTACAGATAAATGAATGTCCCGACCCAAACATCGGAGCTGGTGCACCAGAGGGCAAACTGTACCAACAATTTTCCGCACGTTCTACAATAACTATTCCTAAGAAAAACTACAACTTTCTGTCTCATAAGTATCGATTCACGTACATGCAAACGGCACTACTTGCGCCTATCCGAAACCTAACTGGTATAACCCGGAGGTCAAATTTCCTCCCCCAACTCCCCACGAAAACTGATATAGACTTGCATACCGAGTCATTTTGCACCGTGATTACGATTTTGGCATTTACTTTTCACGTCGGCTTCATGAGCTGCGGGTGAATGAGTGGGTTATTCTAATCGCGAATGCGACAACCGATTTTCGACGCCGATGCCATCCAGTACTCTGCTAAGGCTGAGTCGGGGTGGGGGGGGGGGGGGGGAGAGCTAAGCTCACCGGTGGCGCTTATGCGGCGCATGCTGAGCGATGTCGGCGCAGCGGAGGAGTGAAAACTGACAGAGGCTGCCATCACTGCAATCCGATAGTTTAGCTGTTTATCAGCCCGTGTCCGCCTCGGTAGCGCCGAAGCACGCAGTGATCAATCATGCAATCGTTTAAGACAGCTCCCGCGATAAAAGTGTCATGGATAGTTGATGTTCAATTATGAAACAGTAGCTGATAAGTAATTCCCCAGAAAAGAAAAAAAGCAAGAAGAGTCCTCAAGAACACCATAAACAAAATCGCTGCCCTGACAGTCACACCTCCGTACCGTCTCTGTGCAACCCTGGCTCACAAATTCACTTTATCAGATCTCTCCAGTAGTGGATATCATCCAAGTGCAAAAAGAATACGAAAAACAACAACAAAACAGAAGAGCGAAAAACTCCTTGAAAAGAAAAGAATTTTTAAAAGCCGGAGTCCGAATCTAGGGTTATGGTAACGTGCATATTTTAGTGTAGTGTGGCGCGTCGAGCTTTTGCAAACGAAAATTGGGTCGCTCGTGATTTTTACGCGTTTTATCTTGCGAGATGTGTTGAAGTTGATGTGTTGAAGTTTGCTGTATAAGCTCCTGATTAATAAAATGTAATAAAGGAGAGCAGAATCATTCATGGGCATGAGCGCTGTCAGCGAAAAGGACATGCAATTCCGATTAATGCCCGCCGCCCCAACAAAGAACAACTGAGCTGCCCTCCGTCGGAGGGCATCTAGCAAGTGGGCGGTCCAACTGAGCGGGCGTTAGAACTAGAACTTTCAGCGGCTGTAGCTCGCTCCTCGCTCGCTGTGGAGACGAAGCTTGGGGGCTGTACTACTTGCACAAGGAAGGACGACCATGTACTACTTGAGCGCGGGGGCTGTCTTTAATCACAGCAGTATGAGCTTATCTCTGGAGAAATGTTATGCCTACGCTTGTAATCTGCTTTTTAACTGCCTTTCATGTCCTAGTGCTCTCAATCAGTCATCATTCTTGCCTTCTCCGTTGTCCTGCGGTTGTTTACCCTTAGTCGGCAGAAGCTAGGAGGTTCACTGTCTCGTGAATGCAGAGCCGAGCGCTAACTCTTGTTCTCTATTGCCGCATTATCGCATAGGAAGCACGCGACGCGTGCGTTCGCCGGTGAGTTTTTCCACGAAGCCAAGGTAATCAGCCTTAGCAGGCGCAGATAACACGTGGGCTCAAGGACAGCACCGACACCAAAAATGAATGTCGTACTCGTGATAAGATGCCAAATAACTCCAAGTTTATATGGACTTTCCTCAAAAATAGGAAGATGCCAAATAGCGAAGGTGGCGAAGTCGTATGTTGTGACACTAAATAACCATTACTGCCAATGTTCTGACGAAGAAAAAAAGAGAACAATTTCCAAGACTCTGCGGTTGTAATGGACAAACTTTGTTGCATGCTTTGGTAACGTATGTGCGTCGGTACAAGCTATGTCTTCTGACACCGTTTGAGACCATACATATGAATTTTTTTTGAGGTTTTCGGAAAGTTTCTAAAAACAGAATGGCAAAGACATATTTCGCTGCAGATGAAGGGGCGTGTCGGGCAGTAGGAGTGTGCCATTGCCCAAACCCGTTCTCTGCCAGTTGTTGAAGGGGTGTTGAAGGCGGTATGCGACAACAATTCGTAGAAAAGGAGTGATACGAACGATATGATACTGTGTTTTACTTGCTCGCTCCAGCAACTGATGGAGAACGGTTTGGCACCGCGCCAAACTCATTCCTCCTGACACGCCCCTTCGTCCGCATCGAACTAAACTATATGAACAATGAGGTCACCATACCTGTCCAACTGCAATGCACTCTCCGAGCACAACTAATCTCTCCACGCGAGAAGAAAGTGACGAAAGATGAGGCTCAGGTGTAGATTCGCCATTCAACCAACGCGTCATTTTTTCAAATGCTGTAGACACCGGTTTCTGTACAGAGTACTTCATATAGTAGAATGAAATACCTTCTATACGGTAACATTATCCAAAAAGTGGACGATGAATGCTGCCCATCCTTTCTGGGTTAAAACACTAGTAACTGTTAAACACGGCTGAGGAAAAACAACCCACATCATTGACGGCATCACCAGTGAGCTCAAGACCTGATAGAAATGCTATGACTCCTCTACTTTTCTCGGCTGGCCAT